GCCATGGGGGGGTGCAGTAAATGACAATGAAAGGGAAGATCTCCCACCATGGTCTCTGAATCTTAGGACTCCTTTTCTCTATTCCATGGTTCAGAAAGAAAGGCCTTACCTGGAGGCTCTTTTTATCTGCACTTGGTATGGACTAATAATTTCCTGCCTACATTTGAGTTCCAACAAGGAGACATGTAAAAAAAAATGGGAACCCATAGCCTTTTTGGTAGTACTTTGAAATCTAGTCTCTTTCCCTAATCTCCCTGCTGCCGTTCATTTTTCAGAATCCTCAGATTACTGCTCCTGCATCTGTCCAAGTGTTTAACTGCATTCACTGGAGAGAAACAGTGCAGTAAGCTCATTTTGTCTTTCCTGGAACTGAACCCCTTATTGAGCCTCTGGAATCTGTACATTCACTTCTCTTGTCAAATTTGGGGCCATCAAAAATTGGTTTTCCTCCATTATTTCTTAAAGTATTTCTGGTGCCTCAGTCTCTGTCATTCTGTTTATCCAGTTCTTGGATTGTTTTATACTGACCTTTGGAACACTGATACTTTCTTAAGTTTTTTTTTGTTTTGTTTTTTGTTTTTTGGTTTGTTTTTTTTTTTTGTCTCTTTTCCTTTCTTCAGAAGAAATTCTATTGGTCTGTCTTCAAGTTCAGTTTTCTCCATCATCTCTACTAGTAAGACGATCCATTGAATTTTTTTCTGATATTGTATTTTTCAGTTCCAAGATTTCCATTTAGATCTTTTTTAATGAAAATATCAATCTCATTTTCCTTGCCTCACTGAAATGGTGGATAACAGGGTTAACGTCTGCCTATGCCATCTGCATCTTTTCAAGCTTGGTATCTTTCAGTTGTCTTTTCTCTTGACAATGAGTCCTATTTCCCTGACCATTTTGAATTGTTGACTTGATATCATATTTGTTATGTGGATTCTGGGTTCTGCTATATTCCTCTGAAGAACATTTGCGTGTGTGTGTGTGTGTGTGTGTGTGTGTGTGTGCGTGCGTGTGTGTGTGTGGTTTTTTGTTTTTTGGGGTTTTTTTTAGCTGTTAAACTGCTATGACTGGATACTCTGTTTACAGTCAAACTGTAGGCTCCATATCGCCTTCAGTGAAGTCTCTGTTTAATCATTTAAGCTTTTACTGTGCTCCTTTAAGTTTGTTGCATGTATATGTGTGTATGTGTATTCAAAATGAGCTTGAGAGTCTTGCAAATGCACATCCCAAATTAAAGACTTCCTTCCTTTGCCTTTCTTCTTTCCAGAACTTTTCTCTCACCCTCAGTACTAGCCACATTTGTCAGCTTCTTTCCCTGATTCCTTCTGCCAGAAAGATGGGTGGCTTCTTTGGGGGCTTTAACTGCCTGTGCTATACCACCCCCTGTCTGCAGCAGGTCTGGAGGACAAAACCCGTAAGATGAAAACTCACCCTGGCTGGTCCTACTGTTTTGTTTACTCTTTGGAGTCTATTGGTCACTGTTAGTTTGTTTGGAGTCATTTTTTTTTTTTTTCTATTTTGCAGCACATAATGATCGGTATCAGTGGGCTAGTTGATCTGCGGCAACTTTGCACCCCTGTCCTGAGAACAGAACTTGCTGGTGCTGGGTTTTAATTTGGAACTTTCCCAGGACTCTTTTTCCACTTGTGCGTTGACAGCAGTGGGGCTGGTGAGAGGGGAGTCACCTGCTTGTTCTGCACTGTGGCTCCACATTCCTGGTGCCTCTATATATAGGTGCCAGCATTTCATATGGAAATGTAGATAATTTTATTGTAAACCACTTCCTTCTTCTGCTTTGCTTGCATCTTACAGTTAGGAGGAATTATACTGGGGCTGAATACACAGGAAGTTTCTGTTATCTATGAGTTTATTCCAGGACAACATAGGAAGTAGCATTACAAAAGATTTATTTTATTTGTGGTTTGTTAGACCCAAGTAGACTAGATGGTCTGATGGATTAGGTGCTGTTGAGGCCCCTTTGGGTGCTGGCCCTCTCTGATCCTAGGATTTATCTCTTCCTGTGCCCTCCCAACAGTAGTCCCTCTGGGAAGCACTGAACCCCGACAGAGAATCCAACTATGGGTTCAACTATGGGACAGTAAGGAAGCAGCCTCCCTCCTGGTAAATTATGCCAGCTCTGGATTTTCTTGCTCTGGCCAAAAGGGCTTCGTGATCAGGAGGTTCCACCCATAGGGTCTTGTTTCACTGGAATCTTAAGAGTTGCAGTGTCTCAGGGCATAAGGCCACCACTGCCAGACTGTTCCGTTACAGCTGGAGCATGGCCATGTCTGCTGGTGTGTATTCTAGGAGCAACTTGGGGTTTCTAGGGGCTGGAAGACCTCCCAGAACTGTGGGGTGGTGGGCTGAGCTGAGAGCCAGGAAATATGACCTGTGCCCTTCTCTTGTGACTTTGTATACCTGGACAAGTCCTCAACTTCTCTAGTTTCCATGACCAAGAAATGGATGGGGAGGGCAAGGTGACACCAGACTGCTTTCTCCTTCCCACCCTTTTCTCTGCCTCCGACATTTGTTGAGTGTCTGCTATACCCAGTGTGATGCTAGGAATGGACATGGATAGGTGTTGGGGCAACTCAGTGGGGAACACAGTGAGGACTCTGATGGGAGTGTCTGAGAGGTCCAGGGTGGGCTGACTAGGCATGGAGAAAGGAGGTGGACAGAATGGAGGCAGCAGAGCTCTCCCAGAAGGAGGAAACCTGTGTAAAAGTGCCCCAGGTTCAGGGCAGGATCACAGTGGGCTTCAGGGTGGGTTACACCAGCCAGGTCTGAGATGTGGCTGCTTGTTGCTAGTATCTGACAGCAGCACAGAGGGGAGAACTGGTGGCAACCTTGGCACAAATTCATGCAGCTCACTGTGTGCACAACTACCCCGTGGCAGAGACCGATCCAAGAGGCCAGTGCTCAGACCCACGAGCGGCCACGATGATCGATGGTCACTGCGCTCACAGAGGAGCATTCTACAAATCAGCTGTTCAGGTTGGGACAAGGGGCCAGCCTGTGTTCACGCCCCCATCTTCCCGCTTCATTCAGGGTCACCCCAGAGCGGTAGTTGGGATCGCCTGGACACCCCTCCCACTTTTTCACCCAGCAGGTGTCCTCTGATGAATTCTGTGTCTCCGAGCAGGTTGTGGTCTCTGCTTCCCTGCCTTGATGTCTGCCTGACCCTTCCCATTCCCCAGGCCCAGCTTTAGGGCCAGGCTCTCTGGAACCCTCTGCCATTGCCCCTAGGGAGCTGGAATGCCGCCTCTGCTCCCTCCACCCCCTTCACTCCCTCCCCAGCCTCTCTCTAGCCATCCACCACCGCAGCCGTTCATAGGAATCCAGCCTTATGCAGATACCCTGAAGTGGTGAGACCCTTGTGGGTTCCAAGGAGGCAAGCAATTTAAGGGCCAGGTGGACCCGTGCTGTTCAGATGTGGAAACCAGAGGCCACGCTTGGGCTAAGGTCAGGACGGTGGCCCTGGGTAGAGCAGATGAGCTCCACACTATGGTTAACGTTACTTTAAAGAGCTAGAGCGCTGGCCTCGGAGCCTCACTGCTGCCTGAAGGCAGGGAAGGCAGGACCTGGACAATTACCAGCCTGGAGAGTGTGATCTTGTTTTGTGCTGGTAGAAAAGTCCTTTCACAGCCTAGTGTTCTTGGGATCCGTCCTTGTCTCTCTACGAGGACATCGGGAAGCTGGGGATCTGAGTTGTCTTGTCATGGCCCTGGCAGACAACTGAGTAATCAGTGGTCATTTACAGAATGGCCTTGGGATTTGGGAGTCAGCTTTCTGGATGGCCTTCAGGCTGGCTTTGGAGAAGGGGCTGTTGGAAGGCTGCCTGGCCCTCCTTCCTTGCCCCAGATACTAAGAGTATCAGACCACACATGGCTATCCCAGGAAAAGATCAAAGCTCAGTACCCAAAGTATTACTTCTACTGAGTACAAATTGTGTTTGCATGATTATAAAGTCAAAAGTTGTACCTCAGGAACTATCTATACATAATTTTTTTATGGAACAAATGAGTAGATTTTTTTAAGATCCCACCCTACCTTTGCTGCTGACCTTGGGTTATGACCTTGAGAAAGTCACTAGGCTTCCATTTGCTCATCAGTAAAATGGAAATAAAGCTCTCTGTTGCAGGGGCACTAGCATTCTGTCACAGAGACTATAGGAAGGAATGCTTTGCAGGACATCTAATGATTTAAAATAGCATATACTTTTGTTAATGCTTACGTTTCTGTGGTACGGTCATAATCTAGTCAAGCGTATCCACAGAGAAAGTCTGATAGAGGAGCAGGTGTGACTCTGTCTAGCTGCATGTGGCCTAGACCTTAACCTGGAGTCCTGAGGGAAGACAGAGACAGAGGCAACCAAAAGCCCGTTGGAGAGGAGGGCTATGCGTGGTTTTGGAGCTGGCTGAGTGTAGGAGGTGTGTGACCATAGGTAAGGGTGCCTGTGAGCCAAAGAGAAGGTCACGGTGTGGACCTGTGAAACCACAGTGGAGCCAGGTTAGCTAGAGGACAGGGTGTCTTGGAAGCTTACTGGAGGGCAAACTACAGTGGTGACCGGGAGCCCACTGGGCTCCTGACTGGCCTGGCATCTTACTGGGAAAGAGGGAGACAAGGAACTTGGCTCAGGTGTGTGCTGAACTGTGCATTCTCAAGCACCTCTCATGACCTCACTGTCCCTCAGGCTCCTCCTCAACCCTCAGGAGACCCAAGTCTGCTGGGGCTGTTGTAACAAAGGATCACAGGCTGGGGTGACTTAGGGCAATAGGAATGTGTTCTCACACTTAGAGGCCAGAAGGCCCAAATCAAGGTGCCTTAGGGCTGCACTCCCTCCAGAGAGCCAAGGGAGGACCCTTCCTGTTCCTTCCAACTCCAGGCAGCACGCCTGGTATCTCTCCTGCCTCTGTGGCCCAGTGGCCTCCTCTGTTATGCACCAGCCCCTCTCCCCACTCCTATAAGGACACTCACCATTGCATTTAGGACCTGTGTGACTAATTCAGGGTGACTTCAATTTAGAATCCTTAATCTGATAACATCATTGAAGACCTTTTTTTTTTCAAATAAAGCCCCATTCCAAGGTTCTGGGCACTGGGATATGCACATGTCTTTGGGGCCACCATTCAGCAATATCCTGCAGAGACCAGAAGAATGAAGTCCAACCAGTACAGCGCCCAGTGGGACGCATGTGATGGGGTCTGGATCAGTGGGCGCGGTAGAAAGAGGCACCTGGAGCTGGGCTTGGCAGAGCCATGGAAAGTAATCAGGGATATTAGGACTGTCCTGTGGGGAAAGAGCAGAAGGAGTTGTGACGGAAAAAAACATTTCTGAGCCATGATCCACAGGATTTGTGGCAGGGAATATGGGGCTGAGTGGAAGTGGACATGACCAGGATCTACAGATCCAGCCGGGAGGAGGGAGAAGGTGATGCACGGAGCTGCTTCTTCAAGGCTCTCCAGCCCTTCCTGGAGGGGTGAATACTAGTATCAGCTCTGCGGGGCATCTCCATCCCTGTGGATTTTATGCACCTATGCACTTATTCCAGAGAATCCCACCCTGTGCACAGCAAAGTACGAGGTATTAATCATGTCACCTTCTTGGCTAAGACTGCTAAAACAGAAATACTGCATCTAGGTGGCCTAGACAATGAAATGTATCCCTCACTGTTTCAGAAGCGGGGAACCCAAGACCAAGGTGCGGGTGTGACGCTGTTTTGTGGTGCCAGCTCACTTCCTGGTATACCTCACCTTGCCGTGCATGTCCTCACCTGCTATCTCTCCTGTCTCTTCTAATGAGGGCACTAATCCCATCATGGGGCCACCCACATAACCTCCTCTAACCCTAGTCCCCGGCCCCACCTCCTAACACCATCACTTTGAGGATGGGGTTTCAGTGTGTGAATTTGGAGGGACACAATCCTTTAGTCAGTGACAGTGGTAGCATTCTGCAGGGGTCACTCCCACAGCACCTACCTCCCTGGTCCTGTGTGCCAGCCAGTGGCTCTGAGGGTCTCCTTTAATGCTGCCATGCCAGCCCTGCCGGCCTCTTCATGCATGACCTAGGCCACCTGGTGTACAGGTTCTCAGGTGGTCCCCACCTTCAGGTTCTGAGCCATTTCCAGATGTTACCGGGAGGACAGCCACAAGTGCATGTTCAGGCAGAACAGGATCTTCTGCTTCTGGAAGATCACAAAAACCATGGGGCTGAGAGCTGGGTTTACAGAATATATGCAAATCGTCTGGGGCATGGACACTGCCTCCCAGCCCTGGTAGCCTTGCTTTTCTTTTATCAGTGCTGATCTCTCCTGTGGGGAGACTCAGCCTCCCCTGGGCCCAGGAGCAGCTGTGGGAAGAGCCGTCCCCAGGCCGCCCTCCTTGCTGCTTATCGCTGACGGCCAGGCACAGCACTGCCCTGTGGACAGCTGTGGCTCCACGGCTCTGAATTTGTGTCCCATTGAACCTAAATAGATTAGTGTTCACATTTCTTCCCCCTTTCTAGGCCTGCCTCCCTGTTCTGGATTATGAGATGGCAGAGCCATTGGGGGTGACCCAAAATGGACTGTGATTTCTGAGGCTGAGATTTCCAGGCCAACATTGATGGTTGGTTTCTGGTGGTTTTTCATAAAAGAAATCTGCCAGTAACTGGCCAGTACCTGAGCAGGGAAACTGTATTCTTCTCTTAGAAAAAGCTTCTAGCTGGGATGTCGCTCTTGGGAACAATTCATACCTAGCATACATGAGGCCCTGTGTTCCATCCCCACCAAAGGAAAAAATCCCAAACTTCTACCTTGGCTTTAGGAGTAAACGAGAAGGAGCCCTTGGTCTTTTCTTTCAGCCCTGTTCAAGGCCAGACCAAGAGAAAACAGGCCTCAGAGAGCTGTGAACTCTGAGTGGGTCATGCTCTGCCTGGGTCTTGAACAATGAGTCGATCTCCAGGGAGGGGCTCTGCTACACAGAGAGCTGGACGCCACCCGCTTCCCAGGCTTTGACGCCACTGAGGATGCGGCTTACGGACAGTGGCCGGCCTCCAGTGTTCAGAGTGGTCAGAATTTGTCGCCACCCAGGTGAACAGCCAAAGTGGTGGCAGCTGATGCTCTCCCGGAAGGTGAGGAGCTAGAGACATAGCAGGGTGCAGTCCTTCAGCTGGGGCAGTGAGGGAACCCAAGTGGGGATCCAGAACCACGCCACCAGTCTGTCCCTAGGACTTTGGGGTCCCTCACCACAGGGGCTGCTTCCTGATAGGCCACTGGGGCCAGATGTGTCTTCAGATCCTTACTCTACTCTTGCCAGCTCTGTCACCTTAGCAACTCAGGGTAGCACCTTGTGGTAACTGCTTCCCAAGGCAAGGGGACTAATACACAATCGGTTTTCTCTGCACCTCCTTCCTTCTCTGATGGGTGAGTATCAGCCACTTAGCTTACGATGAATGTGGGATGGAGAGAACAGTGAGTAGATACCAACTCTAAGAAAGTGAGTAGACTTAAAGGTAAGAGAAGGTCCCTGGAAGGTACCTTGGTAGGTGACTGTATGGGAAGGATGGGTAAGTGGTGGATGGATAGATAGAGGGGGGATTTGGTGAGCAGGTGATACCTCTAGAAAGCTGAGTGGATCTGAACGTGGGAAAAGGTACCTACCAGGTGCTCAATGCACAGTGAATGAATTAGGAGATGAGTAAATTGGATGGATAGCTGGTTGACGGGAAACATGGGTAGTTGGATAAATGGGGGATTGACGGATGGAGGGATGGATGGAGGGATGGAGGGATGGACAGCCAGATCTGGATTGGGAACCAACACCTTTGGGAGTGTGAGCGTATTTGCAATTGAGAGACGATGCCTGGTAGGTGCTCAGTGGCCAATGAACGACTAACTGCATGGGATGGGTGGGTGGGTGGGTGGGTGAATGTCTAGGTGGATGGATGGGTGAATACGCAGCGGCTCTGGGAATTTGCATGTGTCTGCAGGTAGGAGAGGGAACCTGGTGGGCGCAAGTATGCAGTAGATAAATGTAAAGGGTGACAAGATGGATGGAAGAGCTGGGTGGGTATTGTTAAGATGAGCAGTTAAGCAAGAGATAACACAGATGAACTTCATCCCTTTCACTTTGCTGTCCATCGAAAACAGTCTCGGTCATAATCCATTTCTTGCTGACACCGGTGGACATCAAAGAGCATTTGCCCTGAGAGGTTCAGCTCTCCCCCATCTGCCAGATGGGCCAGGCTGGTTTGGGCTGCCCAGAGCTCCCCCTGGGGAGGGGCCGGCTTGGTGTGCGGCTGCCGTCTCACCCCACAGCCCTGCCGTAGGAGGCTGCAGCTCCCAATTAAACTGTTTCAGTGACAAAAGACCCTGGGTAATCATGTGATTAAAAATAAACCGGGCTGGCTGATGCTGCTCACTGGAGCCTATCATACCGAGCAGGGGGTGAGGGGGAGGAGAGGGAAGACTTCATTCTCAGCTCCTCTGACGCCATCGCACCAGGGGAGATGGGGGCACCTCCACTACTCCGTTCACAACCTCAGAGCACAGAGGCTCAGAAACGACCGCCCGCCCAGGCTGCCAGGACTTGAGGCAGAGTGGGTGGTCCCAGCATGGGGGCATCTCGGGCCACTGCGGTGCAAACCGGAGAGGAGATGAAGCTGGCATTTGCATTCAGCGAGCACCTACTCCTCTGTCCCCATTTCCTGGGCTCTTTCTTGTGGGTTGCCGCAAGAACCCAGTGCATGGTCTTCGGCTCTCATTCATGGGAATGTGCAGTGGGGGCTGAGAAACGCATGAATTATGCCAGATACTGTTGTGGTGCAGAGAAGAGAGTGGCAGTCAGACAAAAATTCTACCGCCATGGAGACCCTGGTCTGGCTGGTCAGCTGATTATCCATGGTCTCCAGCCAGCAAGACCCAAGCTGAGGTAGAAGGCCAGGATCCAGGTGTCACAGGGCCCGCTCCTCCTGAGGGCTCACTTCTTGGCTTCCAGATGGTGTCTGCTCCCTCTCTCCTCACAAGACTGACCTCTGTGGGTGCCTGTTTCCTGATCTCCTCTCAGAAGGGCCCCAGTCTTGTGGATCAGGACCCTCCCTGCTACCCTCATTTACCTTAGTCACCTCTTAAAGACCTCATCTCCAAATACAGTTACTTTCTGAGAAATGGGGAGTTAGAGATTCAACGTGGAAATTTGGAGGACACGACTCCGTGGTCACAGCCGCCTGGGGACCCCCTAACCCTGGCTGATGCAGCCCTTCAGGATCAAAGTCTGGAATCAGAACAAAAGAAAACATGTCACCTTGCTGGGCAGGATCCCATCCAGAGTCCCCCGAAGAGGCAGAGGCACTCACACCCTGTGAGCACAGATAGGCCTTGGGCTGAGACGGTGCCACCCAGCTTTAGGCTGGTGCCTGCTCTTCCTCGGCTGGGCAGCACTTTCCTCCTGGAGACAGGCAAGTGAAGGAGCTGTTCACTGGCTTCCACTGTCTCGGCGCCTCCCCCTGTGGGGCAGCAGAGGTGGGAGAAGGTAGAGAACATCCCAGGCCTCTCCCTCTAGCTGAGGCCGCGTCTTTGGCAGGCCAGGTGCCCTGATAGGAACAGCTCTGCAACCATCATCATTGGCTGGTAACACACCGCAAACTGCACTGTGGCTGAGGCAGGGTGAGATGGCTGATGGCGTTTAGACACCATTTGCCCCGTCCTTGCCACCAAGAGACCCACATGGGCCACAGACTCTTTCCCTGCTTAGAAGGCAAATCCATTTGGCCCTTGTGTTCCTCCTTGGTCCCATGTCACCCTTGGAGTAGCCAGAGAGCCCCTGAGGGCCTGGCGGGCTGGTGGTGTGCAGAGCATGAGCTCCAGGCCCTCCGTGGTTGTGAGACAGCTTCGTGCTTCTGGGGCCACATCCACCACTTCCCTCCCAAGAGGACCAAGCTTCCCGATGGATCAGCACCACAGTCCACGAGGAAGGCCCGGGTAGATGGGAGCCACCCTTCCACGGGTCCCTGGGTTTCTTGGAGCAATGGAATGAGTTAAGCCCCAACTGACCAGAACCAAACAGAGCAGGTTGGCAATTCCAGGGGCCTTTGTGTGGGGATGTGCTCTGCATGCCCTGTGCAGGGTCTGGGAGGGCCACGTGCTGCCCTCATCTTGGTCCCCGCACAGGCCGCCTCTGCGGACTTGGCCATGCAGCATTCCCTCCCTGTGGCTCAGGCGTGTGTCCTGCAGCCTACAAACAGGACCACGCTCTTAAGGACTGCTGAGGGCTGCGCCGGCATATACCTGTGGTTGGACTGGTGATAGAAGGCACCACGAGCACTCTCCTTCCTGGCTGGCACTGGGCACCTGGCTTCATGCCAAGCCATTCCTGGCTCACCCTAAAGCTGCGTCTGTTATGAGGCTTCAGCACCTGCCATGCTCTTAGTGGTTTTTAAATTTGTGACATTTTGGCCAAGTCCCCCGAATGAGTGGTGACTCCCACACTAGGCAGCACACGCTCTCTCGCGGATCAGGACAGACGCCTGGCCTTTCGTCCAGCCGCAGGCTGTGTGAACGAGCTCTGGCCACATTTCAGGACAGAGACCCTGGGAAGCGCAGAGAGCTGCTGAGGTAGCTGCTGAGCCTAGCACTTGGCACAGGGCATCATGAGGGCCGGGCCCAAATTCCTGCCCAGGCTCCCTTCTTCTCTGCTCATCACATGCCACTGTTCCCCTTCCTGCCCTTATCAGGCATATTTGCTCTGGGGGCTGTTTAACAAATGGAATTTTTGTTTCTCCTATGTGCACCTCCTGCTGTCTCCCAGGAGCAACGGGTGGGCTCCATTCGCATGCAGGGATGCGCGCGGCTCAGAAAAGGACAGGATGTGCGGGCCCGTGGACAGAGCACGGTCCTGTCTTCTTGATATGCAAAGGCCACAGCCCTGTTGTCTGTCTGTCCCCTGCAGGGCTGCCCTGGGCTGGGCCGCTGCCCCTGGCCAGGTGTCACACAGAAGCCTCTGCACGTGGTCTCCACAAGGGGCGTGACGTGCCTGATGATGGCGCTCTGTGGCCTCTACAGCAAGGCAGATATGACATGTGGGACCTGGGCAGCCCTCTGTGCCTGGCTCCCAGCTCTGGGCACATCCAGAGGGTGGCCAAGCCCACCAGGGACAGTGTGTGCTGGTGCAGAGAACACAGGGCTGCCAAAGCCAGGACCCTGTCGGTAACAACCATTCTCAGGGCGGAGCTCTTGCTTCATGGGAGACGGACAGGCAGGCAGATCAGCTGGACAAACAGTCACCCTTGCGTTTCTCTTCCCATTTTCACACACAAGCCAGCCCCCCTGAGGGCTGAGCCCTCCGGGACCTGGTGCTCAGAATCAAGAGTCCTGGAGAGGGCACCGCAGAGCCCAGCCCATGGCCTCGCAGAGTTCTCAGTGAGTCTTGTGGGTGTCGCGGGTGGGTGTGGAAGAGCCGCGGGGAAGATCCTTCGAAAATTTCCCAGAGCTGCCTAGGCGATGACACAGCCGGGTGTTGAAGCCATGGCGACTGACCCCTCGAAACTCTGGGGGCAGAAGGCCCAGCCCCGGTGTCAGCAGGGCTGGGCTCCCTCGGAGCCTCCAGGTGGGGTCCTTCGGAGCATGGGTGCCCCCTGGCGGTGGCCGCGTCACACCAGCTCCTGCCTCTGCTCCAAGTAAGGTCCCGCCTACCGGTCTCACACGTCGGGGGTTCCAGGGCTTGGGCCGCCGTTCAACCCACATGCAGTTTCATTCAGTAACAGGTTGCCGGGTAAAGAATGGCCGGTGGTCATCAGATGGTCACGCGGAGTCTGGATGTGAGCAAGTGCAGTCCAGCCCAGGGCCTTGGCCTACTCTTCTGCAACTAGGTTTGATTTGGGCCTTGTGCAGGATTGGGTTCATCTTGGCTGTGTCTCAGATGACCTACTGATGAAGAAGTTTTTTTTTATAATGAAGAAGGCCACTCTGAGTGGCCATGGAGGATGGTGACTAACATGGATTAGGAAAAAAGCACAGCAAACAGCAGGCCCTGAGGTCAGATCATAAGGAGCATATATCTGGGGCAGAGGAGGTGAGAGGACTTGAAGTATCAGAGGGTGAGCAGCCAGCATGGTGATGGGTATGAGGCTCAGCAGTTATGACCCATGGTCACCTCTCTGAAGGGTGGTCATGCTGAAGGGAGAGCTCTGAGAACCCACTGTGGGACCAATGCATGGACCCTGAAGGAGCTAGATATTGAACCCATTGGACCCCAGGAAGGGGCGCATCAGCATCCCACCATCATGCGGAGTGAGGCTGGCCTGGGAAGCCCCGGGAGCCTCTAGCACAGCTTCCTGTTTGGGTCCCTCGGTGTCCTCCTCCCCCAGGGAGGCCTCCCAAGACCCCGCCCAGTTGCCCAGCTTGGTCTGGGAAGGGTAGAAAACGCAAGCCGCCCCCACCCCAGTCCCTGTGAAGTTACCCCAGTGGAGTCCGCAGCTGTCCTGGCAGCTGGAGCCCCGCCCACAGCCCCGCCCACTCCCCTGCTGACCCTGGGAGCCCTGCACGGCCCAGGCCTCTTACTGAGCGCAGATGTGCTGCTGCCCTGCGGCCTGTGTCTGTTCGTCTCCAGGGTAACGCAGAATTCCCCTGTGCTGCTCAAAATATCCTGCGTTCCCAGCCACACGGCCATGTGCTCTGTTCTTGGCGGAGCTCCTTCCCTCCCCTGGGTCCCGTGGCAGGGCGGCGGCGACGGGAAGTGCGTCCCGGGGGGTCCTCCTAGTCAGGCGGCCACTGGGAAGGCTCTGGGCCAGCAGCCCTGCCCACAGCTATGCGTGGGCCCATCCCTAGGAGGCTCCTCGGCCACCGCGCGCTGGCCACTGCCCTTCCACCCAAGGCCTGAACAGGGCGGCCTCTGCAGGCCGAAGAGTGGATGTCGGCCCGGGAGCACCGGGATCCTGTGTCCCTCACTCCGTCCCAGGCTTCCTCGTGCTCCTTACCCAGCAGATCCTAGCCGGGGACACCAGGAGGACCCGCGTCCGTCAGGCCCCTGGGCTCTGTGCCATGGATGAGGCTGCCTGAGTCAAGCCAGGTCACCCCTCCTGCACAGCCCTGTGACTCCCCCTGGCCTTCCATCTTTCCGGGAGTTCCGCACATGCTCAGAAGCGCCTCACACCCCTTGCCCTTTCCCTCAGCAGACCCGGGGGCTCAGGGCCTGAGCTGCCCAGGCTGTGCCTCCTACTAGGCCTTCCTGCCCTCTGCCCTTTGTCCTCAGGAGCTGTTGTTCTCCCCACCTGCCGTCCTGTCCCCTGTTTTTGACTTCCTGATTCCCGCTGGCCTTCACCTGCTGCTGGACCACCTTGGTGAGGCCATGCTGGGCTCAGGCCCCAGCAGGACTGAGGATGGGGCCCTGCCTCGGGGCCTGTGTTTCTCCTCCCGCCTTTTCCTGCACCTTCGCAACACCCCGACCCACGTTTTCTGTCCTCACCCACCCGGCCCCTGCCCCAGGCCACTCCTGGGAGGAGACCACCTGCCCCAGCTCACCTAGCAGCTGAATCCTGGCCCTGAGGCTGGAGCTCCACAGGCTTTCTCCCGAAAGGGCCAGAGGATGCTCACGCCAGCCTTTGCCGCCACGTGCTCAGCCAGAGCCAATCAGCTCTGCCCTCGATGCACAGAAGCAGCCGGCCAGCGATCGGCGATGTCTGTGCCAATAATACTTTATTGACAAAAGAGACAGCAACTTTAGTTTGCTGGCCGTGGTTCTAATCCTGGCTGATCCGTGCCTAGGTCTGAAGCCTCCCAGTAGGTGACCAAGCCTGTCACAGTCTGTACCCCATCTTTAAGTGACAGTGGTCACTATCCTGACCACATGGAGCTAGAGTGAGCATTGATTGAAATACATAATACTTGTTGTTAAAGTGCCTTGTAACTTACACCAGCCCTGCCATTCTGCACCTTTGTTGTAAATACACCAGGCTTTTACAGGCCAGAGTCTTTGCTTGTGCTGATCTCCTTCCTTCTACATCTGTCTGCTGGACTCCTACTCATCCTGCAAGACCCAGTGGTGGTAGCCCCTCATCCCTGTACTTCCATCAAAGCTCTCCATGCTCCCTGTGCTCCTGGCTGCTCCTGGAGTGTCTGACGACGTCTCTTGTTGCAGACGATCCCACTCAGTTGTGATGATCTGTTCCACGTCTGTCTCCCCGCCAGCCTCTGCCCTCATCATGGCTGAGTCATCTGTTTCTACAGTGTCTGACGTGCAGTGATGTTCAGAGTTCGTTCATTCAGCAGAGATCTGTCAGCAGGGCCATGCTGGGCAGTTAGGTGGTCTTCCCCATGGAAGGCCAGGCTGGGGTTATAAGGTGAGCCCTGCCCTCATGGAGCCAGCACACCCGTGTCCCCAGGGAGGTAGCCGCCCACGAGACCAGGAGGGACAGACTTCGCCAGCTGAACAAAAACAGCCACCCAGAGCACAGAGGGTCCCAGACAGGGCCCAGGCATCCCCAGCACAGGAGGGCGACTGGG